GTTCATGGGGTCACGAAGAGTCGGACACGACTTAACGACTAAACAACAACAACAAAATAAATATATCATGTAATTAATTTAATTTGCAGTTAATTTAACATTTTATTTAAATTAATCCAATGCAGTTTCTGTTGTGACCCTATTCATTTCCTTGTGTTGTCATTCATTTTCTGAAATAGAGGTCTGATGTATCTTTCAAAGGCGAAATACAAAATATTCCACACCCTCAGTTGTCTGGATCCAAGCCTCTCCTTAAATCCCAGAACACAAGCAAAGGCAAGCTAGATACACATTTTTAAAAATTACTTAAATTTTAAAATAAATTCTAAATGCAATAAAATACAGAGTTACAACAGACAGAACATAAGTACCTCTTTTCCTCTATGGGACAACCCCGTGTCTCCTCCTATTCGTCCCTTTAGATTTAGTTCACTTTCACCATGTCGACAGAGGTAGATGGAACGAGGAGTTACATGGATATTCATGAGGTAGTAAACAATCCGACTCTGGATATGATCCATTACACGATTTACAAGATAACTCCTTCCAACATCCATGATTTTAATATAAGAAAGATCCCTGTAACAGTAGGAGACAGAATTAATTATATTATTCTCCTATTTAGCCTAATGTTTCATTTATCAGCCACAGAAGCCACGAATACATTTTATCTACCTACATTTGGGGAAAGGTACAGGTATTCCTTGGGTTACATCCATCCGTTCAGTGACCATTTAAAATTATGACAGCGCTGAAAATGGACTTACAACTGGTCCTCAAAGTTCTGGCTCTCGCAGCACCCCCCACAGCCACGTGATCAAAATTCAGGCCGGACTGCATTTACGACCACCCTCCTGCACAGGGCACCTGCCCACATTCCCTAGCACCTGCCTGCAGCCCCCACCCCCCTGCCTGTGGCACCCGCCTGCACTCGCTAGTACCCACCACAGCACCCCCCCGTCTGTAGCTCTCACCCACAGCTCTCACCCACTGGCCTGCTTGCCTGGGACTCCTGCCTCTTTCTGCTTAACAACCTGAGCAGTCCTGGGGTTACAACAGCAACTGAGACTGCTGGGATTGTCACTGTTAAGTGATGCAGTCATGTGACATTGTGCTTTATGACCGCATCGCTCAGCGATGGAAATGCCAGTCCCAATTGTTGTCATAACTCAAGGACTACATATAGTTCTAGAATCTAACAAAAACAACTTTAAGTAGCAGGATGTTCATTAATGTGCAATTTATTTATTTTATTTATATTCTCTTTACACTATGGAATGTCCTCCGAATGGTTAGTAATAAAAGTTAATTGTATATAAGTAATACAGCATGTTACCGTATTGACAGTTAACTAAGATGTGAAGAGACAATTCCAAATTAACCATATTATCCACACTATACAGAACCAGTCAATCCATATAGCTTGTGGCTGTCACTTTCTATTTTAACAGATAACTCCTTGTTTACCTAGAAATGAAGCATGCATTAAAAAGAATCACCCTACCAAGAGGTAAAGATTTCCTGGAACTGTGGGTATGAATATTGTTTAACTTATTTTTTTTAATGTGTTCAGTGAGATGATTTATCTCTGTAAACAGATACTTTAAGCTATTTTCTCTGATAGACGTTTTTGCTGAATTATTCATTAGGGATCTCATTTGCTGGTGCTCTAAATTTCAGTTCTGACATCCTTTTTCAATTATGCTAGCATAGCATGAAATTAATATAGCAACATTATTTTTTGCCCAAGCCACACATTACTGCATTTCTTTTCTCTCTAATTCATATAAATATTATTTTTATAACTAGTACAGAACATGCTTGCCTATGACTTTTACCTGGTTGACTGTAGCCAGTAAGCGATGTCTACGGTCAAATAGATAAGAACACTTTTGCAAACAAACCAGGTTTTCATTTTATTTCCCCTACTGGCCAGAATCATAAAATAATTTAGGAGTATGTGGGAAAACATCCTAATAAATCACATGTCATTATTTGCAAACCCCCTGATACAGCATAGTATTAAGAGCTTAATTCTCGGTGTTGTGGTAAATCTGTGCCTGGGCTCTGCCATTTCAAGTCTGCATAGGGAAATGTCCACAACTGAGGGCTTCTCCATGATGAAAACTCATCCTGAGTTTTGTTGCTATTTTGAATCTGTATTAAGTTTTTATGTTCTGTTTTTCTTTTAAATTGTGTTATTACAATTTAACAATTGTGTTAGGCAGTTTAAGCGCTTGCCAGAGTAGAAAGACATATTATAACTCAAATAAATAAATAAATAAAAGATCAGTTTATTGTAAGGCAGAACAGAAACACTAATTCTACCACTACAAACCATACAGTATGGCAAGCAATCATGAACAGGGCTCTAGAAGAGTGTATCTACTGGTTAATCTTTTTTATGGCTATTACAATATCCAAACAAGCCCTTTGAAAGTTGTGAGATAAGCTTATGACATCTAGGATTTTATATGCACGTAAGGGAATTCACTTAAACAATTTGAAATGGCTAATGTTAAACAGACCTTCATATCCAGTGAAAAAATGGCCAGAGTTTTATAAAAAGATATTCTGAAGATACACAAGAGCCAATAATATCATCCATAATGTCACAGGAGTATATATTTGCTCATCTTCAGTTCTATGCTAACGTCAATCAGCAATGTTTACTATACTTTACATCTAAAAAGGTAAATATCCATACCGATGGAAATAGTAATGTTCTGAAATTTGTGACAGAACATGTTGCCATCCAGTAGGACTAGGAAGTGTGTCTTTTCCGTAGCAGCTTCTGCTCTATGGAACACCCATCTCCCCGGCATCCAGCACCCTCCCACCCTCTTAGCCTTCCAGAAGGCCATAAAGGACTGGCCCTTTCCCCAAGCACTGGGATAGAGTGAGACTGGAGCCTAGGGGTGGTTTTGTTGGATATATTGAAAGGGGATGGCTAAAGCACCAGGTTTTTGCTTTTTTAAATTGTTTTTAATGTATTTGGGGTTTTATTGCCATTATGAGTTGCCCAAAGTTGTGTTTCTTAAAATGTGCAGCCACATAAGTCTTTTAAAATAAATAAATACACAAACTCCCCAGGATATTCCAACTTTGACCTCAGGGTGGTCACATTTGACAAAAAAGGCAAAGCAAACTGAATCAGAAAACTTAATACCATTTCTCATGGACTGAATGTGGACCAAGAGTTATTTGCAAACTACAGTTACTGATGTACAGAATGCCCATGTTAAATGTGCTATGACTGTTTCACATTTGGTCATTCTCTAGGCAACCATGCAATTTCACTTTTTCTGTGATCTTTTTCACTTCCCATTTTCTTCACTCCAGATCACAACCAAGGCATAAACATCAACAACTAAATAATAACATTTGTCAGGAGTACAAATCTCTTGCAACAAAGGGGCCATATTTGTTGATTTTGCTGCATAGGATTGACAAGGACACATCCCTCTACTTTATTTATGACCTACTCTATCTAACCATTTTGTCATTGTGTCTTCTAATCCTAAAAGCATTTCTACCTATTCCCATCACCACCCCATTTTTTAAAAATTTTCCTTTCTAATTTTAAGTATTTATAATCTCTCTTGCATTAATTTATATCATTCATATGAGTGGATGTGATCTCCTAAAGCTTATGCTATAATTAAATGGATTAATCTTTAAGGTACCATATTTTTTAATTAAAATTCAAATGGTCACTTACTTGTCTAGATTTTCATCTAACGTCTCATATGAATTCTTGTAACACTCAATTCTTTTCATGAAGTCGTCTGTAGCTTCATCACTACCACAGTCAACATAATCAGGACTGCCTAATTTCACTTGCTAAGAAACAACAGAACAAACAAATCTCTAAATACTATAAAAGAAGTCAATGAGCGATGTGATGCTTTCCTATATTCTGTGTTTGAATAAAAAAAATACGGACACTGACACGAGCTGAAATGATTCTGTTACAGACCTGAATTTAAAAAAGAGACCTAAATTATACTTAAACACTTTAAATAAAATGTACAAATTAAATATCAATAGAAAATATAGTGTGGCTGGTGAATTGTTATCATAAGACTGAACATTTTGTTTGGTTTCAATTCCTTTCATTTCTATGGCTTGGTGATTGAGAAATAACATTCACGTACTTCCCCTAGGCTTGTTCTGCAATTATATGGTAAGTTTGTCTTCTGCCTTTCCTGAAAATGGGCAGACTCACTTGTAAAATATATATTTTGCAAGCAAGTTCCCAAGTTCAATCCCCAGTGAATCCAAGGATGCTTGGGAAGCCCATCTGGAAAGCTATGCCAGTCAGTACAGATGATACAAGGCTAAATGTTCTTGATGTGATCTGCACTTTTAAAACACCTTAACGGGAGATCAATACAGAAGTGAAATATGTTATCTGTATGCATATATGGATATGTACATGGAACATTAAATAGAAAGGGTTTTTTTAGCCAGATACTTCAGTGTGGGAGGGAGTGAAGCAGCTAGACCACATTCAATGGTTCTGAGAGGTAAACTGTGAGCACAAACATTTCAAAATAAACGGAAGTTACTACTCACCACAATATTTGCAGCAATAACCTCAGGATCAACGCATACTGACTCCACAAAAAAAGTCTGTAAGCCAAACAGAAAGAATATTGATGGCAGACCCTTAAGTATTATTGTATTGTCGAAGGCCCACAGAATACCCACAGAAGGGTCACTTCACCCTGGGCACAGAGAGAACTGCTCCTGTCTGTGCTCCTGCACTCTGAAGATGCCGGGCACAGGT